TTATATTATCAAAAAAAGAATACTGCCTTTTTTAAATATTTATATAAAAAACTTCTTATTGAATTATTGAAATCTTGAACATTTGAATATCTCTTAAAAATGAAAATCTATTTAAAGTGTGTGAAAATGCTGAACTTTGCGTGATTTATCTGAGCTAATTTCGGCAAATCTTGTTCTAAATATTTTTTTTTAACTGAAGTGCATCAACGTAAAATATTCATTTATATTCAAGGATACCAACTTTGACGGGTTGTCAGGCCTCAAACTGCATTATGGATTAGCCTCTAAGTTTAGTTAATAATTTGTTTTTCGTTTAGATTTGTAAACTTTCAGCGATCCACACAGTTATAAAAATTATGCATAAATGAAAAGGTCATCTTTGAATCGTTTGCCATGGTGGTTTGAACTAAAAAGATAGCGCGACTGCTTTAAAAATTGCATTAGTTTTCAAGACTGGGTCGACTTTGGAGTGTTCCAACGCCTTGGACGTTGATTTTACCTTATTAACTCAGTTAAAATTTATTGTACCCCAGGATATGTTTATTTTAAAACTATTAAAACTGTAATTCTAGCATAAGTTTTTAGGAAGTAATTGGCTAAATTCTCTTCAAATTTTGCAACCTTGAGATTACTTTGAGATATTTTTACTTTGAGATATTTACAATTTTGTAGCCCTAGGCAAGAACTGCAAATTGCTTTGTTTTAGTTTTAGTTTGAAAGAAGTAAATATTAAAATCTCGATATATATTTTCGGATCAGAACTTTTATATTTTATCTAAACATATTTAGCTCAGAATTCGAAAACACTTTCTCTAAACATTTCATTAGATTTAAAACTAAATTAATGTTAATTTGAATTCAAGTGTACTGATATAATACACAACAAAGTCCATTTGAGTACATCATGAAACAAAATCCCTTTCACTTAATTCCTTTTAGAGATAAAAAATTAACATTTCTGGATGAAAAAGCTTGTTTTCTTTGAATCCCGATAATATTTAAAATTTTGATTTGAAAACTAATTGAAACTTTGCGCGTGTCAATGAGTAATTTTAAGTAGCTCTCCATACAAAATAGTACCCTTTAAACATTTGACTGGTTGAAGGACTTATCCTTATTTACATACAGAAACCCTTCTAATTTGCATGCTGTCATATATTTAAAAAATATCAACAGTTACCATAAAGAAGTCGCAGAAAATAAATATTCAACTTCGAATTTGTGAAACCCGCGTTGGACTTAGAACATTTGGGATTTTCGAGGAGCATAAGTCAAAGGTTTAGGGGTACCGTTCTAAATCGGGAATTTCCTTCCTTTAATGGAAAGCTACTTAAAAGTATGCCCACAGTCCTTTTAAACAGAAAATTTTTCATTGACACGCGCAATGTTTCAACGAGTTTAGATTACTTTTCAATCTGAATTACCATTGATTCTTATTTTTCTGAAAGTAAATAAAATAACGTTTATTTCGTTTTTGCACCTTTAAAACTATTTCCATATTAGTATGTAATTTTTCAATACTTGTGAGTTCTTCTAAATGAAAAATGACCCCCTCTTCCACCCTTCCAACATCCCATTAACTTTTAGAATATTGAAACCCAGTGATTTGGAAAATAAGTTAAATGTCGAGTCGTCAAATAAACAATTACTAAAACAATGTGTTTTCATACGCTTCATTGTATTATATTGTATAAATCTTTGGGGAACTCAGCCTAATAAGATTTCTAGGTCACTCAAGATGAGCAACTAAGCCAGAATATCAGACTTACCCCCCCCCCTCAAAAAAAAGTATGAGATCTTTCAGTAAATATAATGCTCTAAAGGTTAGATTTAGTATTTTACCTCTAGTATTGTTTATAATGGTTAACCAAATAATTTGCAACAAAAGAACCAATTTAACAATTGCATTGATAGCAATAATTAAAATTAAAAAATTTAAAATTCCGTTCACTCATCATTGACATTTTTTCTTCATGGGTAGCCCTGTCCCTGTCTATCTATTTAATGAAGTTATTTACTCTAATGCTTTATGTAAGTCCTAAGCTACTTGTTTTCCAAAAAGTAAAGAGATATTTCTCAATATCCAAAACCACCCACTGCACTGGTCTGTTCATGTAACCTTTATGCATTCTAAAAACAGAGGTTTAATACTAGAGTTTACAATGAACATCCTCTTTGTGCCCCTTCCCCCATTTACCCTATTCACCGCCAATGGTATCTGGAGATGCACCTGCTTTGATTTAGTGTGGCCTTTTCAGAACAATGAGTATGTACATTTCATTGCTTAGGCAGTGGAGATATATTAATAGTTGGTGAGAATTATGTAAACAATTAATATTTCTGTATAATTCCACTTAAACTCAAGTATTTTAAGGATTACAGCCACGGCGAAAAGAAAATTTTTATTTTTATTAATCCATTATGTACGGTCATTCACTGAAAGCAATCCACTCAAACTGTTTTTAAATGATCTAGGATTGTGTGGTTGGAATTTAGTACTTTCGAATTTGTAAGGGGGAAATGTTTTTCTGTCTCCTAAACCATTAAGCCCCAGTATTTTCAACCAGTTTTTGTTTGTCCTGCATTAAAAGATCTATATTATATACCAGGCTTGAATGGTTGTGCAAACCAAAGAAAATAGAGACTTCTCATTCAAAGGTTTGCGGTTGAGAAAGAACTCCCTAAATGCAAAACGTATACACTACACCCTGGGAGAATTATAAATAAGCTTAATCCTTCCACAACTAGTGAAGAGATGGGGCTGCATCTTGTTATTCAAACATACTCGCTGTGACAGTGAAGAATAATTCAAACCAAAAATATCTTTACCCAAAGTGATTATTTTCAAAAAGCATGATTTTGGACCTTTCAGAGGTTGAACATTTTGTACGAAATGGTGCTAATCTGCCACTCTTCTAATCTCTTTTTGCCTAGAGCATTATTTAGGCTACTGATGGATTGGACCTGTAGAGGAATTTAATGAATCCTTAAGACTATAAAAGTAAACGGATAAAGAGATAAGTTATGAAAAAGTTCCAAATTCGGTCTATACTGTCTATGTTGCACAGTTATCTCTGGAAGATTGATTAAAACTGCAGAAGACAGATACATATATATAGAGATAGCTGACGATAGTATATATAGAGAGAAAAGGGAAATATAACATATAGAGGAGAAAGATAACTATGTAGAGGAGATTAGTAACTATATGTAGAGGTTAGGAACTATATTCAGAGAGCTTATACCGCTAAAATTCTCTGACATGGTAACATGTGAGTTTTTGAAAATATGATTCAAATCATTTATTTATAAGAAGTGTATTTGGAAAAATAAACAAAGGGGACATTCGTTTACCAAAGAAATCTCTAGATACGCCTTTGTTCTAATATTATATACTGTTACAAATCATGAAATAGATTTTTTTTAAATAGGATTTCATATTTTGTAGTTTGTTTTAAATCCAATCTTTAATAATGTTTACATATTTCTTAAGAACTAGATTTGTATATTCCAAATCGATTTAAATTTTGTTATTTGAACTTCAGAAACATTTGACGGCAATTGGATTTTTTTCTCTGATAAATATAGGTGTTCTTCTACTAAAATTTTAATTATCATTATAATTCTTGATTTATTGCAATAATAACTTAAAACTTTAGCAAATAAATTCATATTCAACCTTGATATAAATAAGCTCAACAGTCAGCATCTACAGGAGTAAAAAATGAATCGATCTCTCCTACCAAAATTATTATAAATTATCAGAAAAAGAAACAAATAATGTTCTTTTATCTCAGACCTTTTAAATTCCGATATCTGTGTCTGGAAGAAAACTAAAAATAAATTCTAATTTAATTTTCCCTTGAAAAATCCATATATTTGCTTTCACGAAACATAAGATGGAGATTTGAGACATTTTATTCAAATCTTTTTATTCTTAGTAAAAGTAAGACTGGTTTTAAATACTTAACCTAAAAAATCAGTTGCCTGACTGCTTCCGAGCAGAGTGTACCTATCCTATGTGGTCCCAGAATTACAGCTGGAGAAGTGCTGAGTTTAGTTATGCATCTTGTTTTCTTCAGGGGAAGCAAGAAGTATTCATAGATTAAAAAAAATTTCATCTTCAGCTTGGTGCACTGAAAGAAGGAGTTTAACCCCTTGTAGGTTTACAAGCATTGCACTACCATACCGGTTTTTTACTCTACCAGATATGAGGACTGGTCTGCTATGGAAGATTCCTCTCAAGAGCTCACAACTCCCCATTTTGCATAAGGAGTTATCTTAATCCGCCTTAACTGGAAAACAGTATAAAATGAAGTTACACAGGGTGCAATCCCCTATACCCTTGTTCCTACAAACCTCCTTATCTCTCTTCTACCTGCTCCACAACGTGATGTCAAAAGAACTATTTGGAAAGGCCATAAAGTGTAAAAACAAGAAACAAGAAGCAAGAAGAAAAAAGAAATTGAACTGAAGAAAAGTGGAAGAGAAATTTTTTAACAGTAGAGATGGAGCCTAAAAACAAGATAAACAAGAAATAAGAAGAAAACTTTGAACAAGAAAATTAGAAGGGGATTTGAGCTTTACACTATCTATTTTTTCACCGAAAGCGAATGAAGACAATTACACAGGATGGCAGAAGTTCCATCCCCCCCCCCTCTATGTCCTACTCAAATTAAAAAACTGGGAAATATGTAGCCGCCCCCCCCTCCCCACCCCCAAGAAAATTTCATGGCAAGTGTGTAGAAAAACAGCTGACACAAGCAAAATATGAAAACAAAACAAGGGAAGATTGTAGTGACCTTGTAGTGAATAGGCCCAAGATACAGTGTTCGGAAAAATAGTTCTTTCTCTTGCAATTTGGCTAGCTGCAGGATCATCCAAAAAATCCATTTATTTTATTTTCAAAGTATGATTGAAGGATGGACAAGGAATGGACTAGAACCGTAATTTATTTTGCTCTACACTTTGCACTCATATTCATATTCGATGAAACAATATAAAAATTTATAATTTGTTTATTTTTTTCACTATAAACATATTTCGCTGATAAAACACAAAAGTTTTACGGCCAATCACAGCCCTGGCAATGAAAATGTCAAGATTTATAATCACATGTTCAGGTTTAAAGGGACTATCAGAGTAGTTGGAAGTGACACTTTATTTGATGAGTACCTTTTCAGAAAGTTAATGCGGATTTTTACATCAAAGAATCAGTGGAATTGAGTCTCTGTCACAAATTCTTACTTATTAATCCCTATATATTTGCTACCCAATGTCATATTTTATACTATGAATCATGTTTGATCAAATAATCTAAATTTAAAATATTAAAGATTTATGTCATCAGGTTGCAAAGATATAGTGGTTAGAGAAGGCAAAACCTCAATTCCTATACTCTTTGAAATGTAAGGTTACATGACACCGGGTTGCTTGACATTTACTTGAATATTCGTTATAAATGAGTGTTAAAAATCCAGAGTCAACTTTTATTTTTTCAAAAAGACAAAAATAAATTCTTAGCATTCTTGTTTTCCGATAACGCAAAATTCCTGGTACAATCTTGTGAGCAAATATATAAATGCATTTCAGATAGAATGTAAAATTTAAATCTTGCATTTGTGCAAATATTGTTATGTTTTGTTCTAAAATATTATAGATCCTTGATTTTGCCTGAATAGTTGGATTGAAGGCAAGACCATCAGTGCAACGATGTTCAGCATAATGGAAGGAACCGGCATCCTAAAATCAATATTATTCTTAATATACGTCTTCAAACTCCGTCCTCACTGTGTACTCAATGTGGGTCGTCATTATTAGTAGATATTCAGTAAACAGCATTATCTACAATATATATTTCAATCTTGGGATTTCACCTAAAAAGACACAAAAAAATATCTCAACGAATCCTCAAACATTGCTTTTTTAATGAAAAGTTTAATTTTTACTTCTGATCATTATGCCAAGAACAATACTTAGGAACTAAACTGTCAATTATCATTTAAAGCAAATATTTCTGGCAAAAAAAAACACTTTATTTAAATAAACAAATTTAAGATATTCTAAACTTTGATTTAGAAGAATTCATAGTTTAAAATATTAAAAAGATGTAGAAATTAGAAAAATGTGAAAAAGATGTAGAAATTAGAAAATAAGAATTTGAGACAAATAACCATAGTTTCTTTCAAATTGGCATTTTGGGACATTAACAAGATAAAGAGTGTAATATAATGGTAATTCTTAAAGTATGACCTTTATGCTCGTATAAGGTTAGGCTTATTGTGAGTTGGTTGGGGAATTAAAGTGTTCTGAGGTATTGGAACTAGTTTTGTCAAAACAATACTAAAGATTGTAAACAAAGAGCATATTGTTCCTTAATATTGTATATGAAGGGTGAACTCTGCATTTAATAACTGATGTTTCCTAAAACATTTACCATTGGTTCGCATTCCATGTATGCATGACAATCCTCAGGAACTGGAAGTAATGGATCTCCTGGCTTACATTCTCCAGGTGTTCCTGTACTTCCTACTTCTATACGCAAATATTTAAGTTGTAGGAGGTTTAGGGTAGTTTACTTGTATCCCGATTCGGCCTTTTTCGTCAAATATATGTGAGGAGGGGGGGCACACAAGTTTTGTAAAAAAAAAAGTTTGGTATTGGCGGTAGTGAGATTTCAAAATCCAAAATGATAATATAAAATTTTAACTTATATTTTCAAACTCTGGTATTGGCGGTAGTGAGATTTCAAAATCCAAAATAAAAAATTTCAACTTTTATTTTCAAACTCTGGTATTGGCGGTAGTGAGATTTCAAAATCCAAAATGTGACTTGTGGATGGAGGATTGAAAGAGGGGATGGAGGTATGCAATTAATATTTAACCAATATGGAAAGTTTGGTGAAATCATTCACTGAAATATTTTACAAACAAGGTTTCTAGCATTCATATACATCAAAGATACAACAAGGGATACAAATATAAAGTCAAGAATATAACAAGGGATACAAATATAACATCAAGGATACAGCAAGGAATACAAATATAACATCAAGGATACAACAAGGAAAATAAGAGCAATTTCAGAGCCAGGGGGGGGGGGTCAAAGAAAATTTAGGGCTTCGAGCGAACATCGCTAAAATCTTGTGTACGTGCCTGAATTTGTCCTCAGTTCTTGACCTGTGATTAAAGAGTTAACCCTATTCCCGCTGGGGGGGGGTCAATTTGACCCCCCCCTGTAGTTTTTTCTACATAACTCAAAAAGTATTGATCTGAGGCTGTTGAAATTTTCTGACTTTTCTTACATACCCAAAGCCCTCCCTTTAGGCCTAAAACCGGGCTTT